CTATAGATTAGTAGATTAATAAGGGGTTAACTATAGGATAGTAGATTTAGCTTTATCCTACTGCTAGCTACTAGGCTAACTTGTCTGTTAGCTAGCCTAAATAATCTAATAGGCCTTAGTTACTATTAAGTTAGATAAGGGGCGTCTTATATATATAGGCTATAATCTAGATAACCTCTAGCTGCTACTAATATTAATAGATATAATAAATGCCTTATAGGCCTTAAAATAACACTCTAAGAATACCTTTTTACTAGTAATAGTTAAATCTATAACCTAGTTATCTAGATATCTAACCTCCTTATAATAGGCCTGCTTTAATAGGCTAAAGACAGCTATATCTAGAGGCTAGAGGACAGTAGAGGCGTATAGTAGTAGAAATAGTAGATATATATTATACTACTAGTATTACTATATAAAATTAATAGTTATATAGCTATAATACCTATTAAGAACTAGTAGTCTAGCCTTCTCTAGCTAGGTAGGCTTAGTGTATAAGATAAAGACCTTCTCTAGCTATTTAAGGGTAGTATTATTAGTTATCTAGCTATTATTAGTTACTATAAATTACTATAGCTTATATATATTAAGGTTAGATAGGAACTACTAGACCTAAAGTGATTTACTTTTATATATAACTAAGGGGGGTAAGAAGCTACTAGTAGTAGATATATACTTAATAATAGATACCTATACCTAGGATCCTAGCTGCTTTTTCTAGATATATTATAATACCTTAGAGCCTAACACTAGCCTATTACCCCCTTTACCCTCTATAATACTAGTCTTATCTATATTCTATCTGTTAGATAAATAGATCTCCTAAATAGTAGGGATACTGGTAAGGTAATAGAAGAAATCCTAGATAACCTTAGGGGAATAGGCTGCCTATTACTAGGTATTAATTACTCTAGATTAGAGGGTTCTAATAGATAGATTTCGCTATATAAATTAGGCTATCTATTTCCTCCTTATAAGAGGATACCTATTACCTATTATACGCTCTACTAGGCCCTTTACTTATTAATAGTTAACATATCTACTAAGGGACTATTAAAAGGTAATATAGGCAGCTAGATTATCCTCCTAGGCCTAGGATAAGTGCTGCCTATCTTTAAAGGCAGTATTCCTACTTTACCTGCTGTAGTATTAATATTAACGTGTTTAATATAGTATACCCTATGCGTAAGCAGCAGCCTGTATACCCTTTCTAGACTGCACCTCTAGAAGGGCCTGTTGGAGCTTATTTTTGGAATATTGCTTTATAATAGGTTAAAGAAGGTATCTTAAAAAAATAGCGTTATTTAGTTATAAATAGCAATTGTTGTGATGGTTTGAAAAAAGTAGTGGTGTTAATAAAGGAGGGGAAATACG